CAAATTCGTGGCGGAGATACGCGATTCAACTCGCGGCGGTGTTCGGCTCTGGCTTGGGACCTTCGACACCGCCGAGGAAGCCGCGAGAGCTTACGATAGAGCCGCCGCCGCCTTGCGTGGTCAGCTTGCAATCCTGAATTTTCCCGGCGAAGTGCCGATTTCCGCCACCACCGGAATTACAACCAGCACTGCTACGGGTTCATCGGAGACGGCTTCGAGACCGGAGGCTGGCCGAGGGGAGCAAGTTATAGAGCTGGAGTGTTTGGATGATAAGCTATTAGAGGATCTTCTTTATGTAGGAGAAGAGGAGGGTGCTTAATTAGAGTAATTAATTGGAGTCATTAGTGGAGATTATGTCTTTAATTTTTGCTTATTTTTTTAATTTGGTGGTTTGATGAATGAATGTAATCTTGATGTTGTGTTTAGTTATTTGTTTGGAAGGTAGGATTGTTATGGCGTTTATTTCTCTTATGAAAATGAAATCTATTTAATTAACTATTTGGGTAATTAATTGTGGAATTAGTAGGGGTTAAATATAAATGCATATTTCACCTTTTAAAACATAATAATAGTATTTTTTTGATGTGATGTCAAAACATATATTAATGTGCACTTAAATATCAAAGGTTTTAGTATTAGATATGTAATATATTAAATTTTGTGATATATATATATATATATATGTATTGGGCTATAAATATAGATCCATTGACTTGAAGGAGTGATTTTTTTAGGTGTTGAGTAGCTGAATTTGATTGCTTCACGGACTAGAATTGTGTCCTATTGGCAAGCAATGGAAAAGGAAGAGAATAAGAGCCTAAAAAGTGGATGGCACCCTGTTTTTATGTTTTTTTATAGGTGCAAAAGGTGTATAATTTATATATTTACATATATATCCTTAATTTGTAAAAAAAATTATTTCTATAGTATCTTTGTCTCTCATTTCTCAACTAGTTTGGATATGTTGGCTTAAAATGTAGCATTCATGAAATATAATTTTAAGAATTTTATGGCGGAGTCTCGGTTATCTGCCTTTTTTGACAAACAGTTATCTTAGAAATCAACTTCTTGAACCAATAAGAGAAGTTTGTGCAAATTCTTAGGAGTGGTCAGTGGAAGAGTTTCTGATGAAGTCAAAATATAGAGGATGTGAAAAAGAAAGTTCCTCTACTCACGGAGGGTCTTGGGTCCCGTTCGGGTCAGCCTATTTGGTGCAGTGTATTTTCAAAACACACCTAGACTCATTTAGGTAAATTGTGTTTTGACAGCTTATTCAAAAACTACGTTTTTAGATTGTTGAAATCAGTGTTTTCACAACGTTCCTGACTATGTGAGGTGACAACTCTTTAGCTGTGATATGACTTTTTTTTTTTAAAAAAAATTATAATTGTCATAGCGATTTTTTGAACAACTGATTATTTTTCAGCAGCTTATTAATAAGCTGCAACTGCTCCAAAGAAGAAAAAAAAGAAAAAAATAAGGTAGAGGAATGTTTGGAGAAGGAGATTAAGTAGGTCAAGTGGCTTCATAGGAAGCTATTGATGTTAAGGAAAGTTTATGCATTGGACTAAATGCTTCAATGAAACTTTGAAGGCTTAAGTAATAAAGGTCATGAGCTATATTACTATAATAGAAGACCACAATAACAATAAATTTAACAAATTTACCTTCATCATAGTCTTACAAAAAGATAAATAAAAGTGGTTCGATACTCAATTCTCAAAAACACCTTATACTAGCGCTTTAATTTATGAGTTAATCTAGAATTATTAAAAGGAACCCACCATGGCAACAATTTTGTTAGTGCTTACATTCACTTCAATTGAAGGCAAGAGCTAGCTCTTTGAAATTGTTCAAGGGACAAGAGGATAGTGTTGATGAGCAATCAACTCTAATGAGCAAGAGAATATGGTTTAATTGGAATGATGATTATGATTTGGCCTAATTAATTCTCCTTATTGGAGTTCACAAGGATGAAAGACAAGTCTTGAAGTTTAATTGCTCGATAATGATTCATTTTTAGGATTTGAAAACTAAAATGAGTATGATTTGGCCTAATTAAGTTCTTCTTATCGAAGTTCACAAAGATGGGAAGCAAATCTTCAAGTTTAGTAATTGGATAATAAATCTTTTATAGGATTTGAAAAGCAAAATTGGATTAGTGGTAATATACTAATTATGTAGATAAAAGTGGAGAGAAAAGGAAAGTGCAGAGAAGTTGAGGATTATAAGCTCACTATAAATCTATGATGCTACTTAATTTTCTAAGCTCTCTAATACAAATGTGAGTTTCAACCTCTCAATGTGAAATAATATCTTTTTCTTTGGGAAAGAGAAGAATATTTTATGAGAAAGAGGCACTTGAGTTAGTTTTTGATGTGGCAATAAATGGCTTGTATGTTTGAGGGGACAACAATATTGACTTAGAATGTTGAAGTGTTTATTGTTCGTCCGTCCTCTGGCCTGAAAACATTAGTGTGGTAAATGACATAGAAAACATCACTACAGAAAAAAGCACCAAAATCTACGGCCTAATTTGCGTCGAAAAAAATATTCTACTTTCAGACGATATTGCGACCGTTTTATAATTTGTGTTATTTGATATGATATAACTACATGGAATGTCGTCGCTTATCGAAAATAGTATTTTTTTCCGACGGTTTTAATTATTACCAACGCAATATACTGTCAGTTATAAGTAAATATTAACAGACGATCATATTTCGTCGGTTATCTTCGAACACATCATCTGACGGGGTATTTAACGACATTTTTTCTTAATAAACAACAGATACGTCCGTCGGTAATATTATTAACAAATTGGAAACTTTAAAGTCATTTTTAAGTTGTCGGAAAAAATCCTTTATGCCGTCAAAATCACATCTCTCCTGATCTTGCTCTAATCTACTCTCCCCTCGCTCCTCTCTACCAGAAATCCTCTCCTCTCCCACCTAACCCCTCTCTTCTACCCCAAACCCTCACATGTCTCTCTTTTATAAAAAACCGACGCATAAGTGACACATAACATACATTTTTGTCTACGTCAAGAAAACCGACAGGTGATACAGATTTTCGACATGTAAACTGTCGCTATTACTGACTTGTAGTTAGTCCGTTCTATGAACCGACGAAAAAGGACAGCATTAATTTTCTCAAAAAAAAAAAAAAAACAACATTAATTTGTCGGTTATGCCCAACTAATTTTTTGCCTCGGAATACCAATCAATTTTGAAATTACTGACAAACGTTTTACCTACGAGCTTAAAACCGTCGATAAACCATTAGAAACATAAAAAACGATGGTCTTTCATTCTAACAGTAATAAATCAAAATCGCAACTTAAAAAAATTAAAGTTTGAACAACTCTTAAAAGTTGAAAAATCAGTTATTTTATTTATCTAATAAAGCTATGATCATTTGTGTTCTTTTGATATGCATCCCGATCTGTTGGTTCGCATCCCCGATATAAGATCCCTCGGGTAGCGGGGTCGAATCCCCTTTGGCACAGTTGGCGTTAAGGAAGTGGTACTCGAATTGTTAGTCACATTAGGGGTGGTTGGAGGCTCGTACAATAGCCTCTGATCATCCCTTAAAAAATTGCTACATTTTAAAATATTTCTAGTAATTACCTCTCTTACTAATTAAACACCCTATAAATTTACAACTTAATGATGGATTCATGCATTTCCCCAAAAAAATGGCCTTCTCTTATATAATATAAAATTACCCTATCGTTTATCGAAAGGTCATCAGCAGATGTAAGCAATCAACGTACCTAATTACACCTGCTAATCCTGATTTATTTGACTTAATATAACCTTTAGCCCAATATTATTACGACACGTGTTCAATTATGCTTTCTTAATTAATTATTAGTTAAATTACTCTTACGCATGCATTCTTTCTGTCACCTGCATGAAAACATTTAAGAGTTCCTTGACAGAATTGATAAAAGCACGTTGGAAATTAAAATACGTCAATTTAATAAAATAAATAAATAAACTTTAATTTCACCTTAATTAATTATGAGTTAGAAAATTTTAATTGAGCGATAAATATTTAGTTATTTATACAAAACTATATCGAAAGGTCTGCCCGAGTAAAACTTCTGTTCGCGATGTCTTGATTAAAAGATTAAAATACGGGTGTCAGGCAGCCTCATAAGTGAGGATTGACGTATGACCTTGTGTGTAATGATGGTTTTCTCTAGTGGTACGGGTTGATTTGACCATATTTGGGTTTGTTTGGGGTAGGTGCAACTTATTAATAAGCTGTTGAAATACAATCTGCTGTTCAAAAAGCTGTGGTGGCTATTAAATTTTTTTTTTTTTTGAAAAATCATATCACAACTAGAAAGTTGTCACCGTACCTAGCTAGAAACAGTGTGAAAACGCTGATTTCAGAGGTAAGTGCCCGTTTGGGGTAGCTTATTTGGTGCGGTGGCGTTTTGAAAACACATCTGACCTGTTTGTGTAAACTGCATTTTGGCAGCTTATGCGTTTTCAAAATGCTGAAAACAGTGTTTTCACGCCGCACCTATCTAGGTGCGATAACTTTCTAGCAGAAGTCTGGTTTTTACAAAAAATAAAAATTTGTAATAGCCACCGCACATAGCTTATCAACAGATTATTTTTAATCATCTTATCAGCAGATTATTCAATAAGCTGCAGCTGCCCTAAACAGATCCTCAGCTACCCTCCATAAATTGTCGGAAGCCATAAAAAAATTATTCATGCTTTAATAGTAGGCTATTGATATAAAAAAATAAGCTGAATTCCTATAATGCATATATCATAAATATTCCTAATTAATTTAAAATGACTTTTGTTTAATATTTATAAAAATATTTAAAAAAATTAAACTATATTTTTAAATTTAATGGTTTTTAAAAATCTAAGGGGACAACTGCCCCCATAACCCCTCTTATTTCCACAATTGCTCCCCCCAACCTAAAACATATTCTTATAAATCCATATAATCATTTCAGAAACTCTCCAATTTTCTAGGCGCATTTACATACATACCCCCCAATTTCTATTGAATTTATATTATAACTCTTTTTTTTTTTTGACATTTATAACATCCAAATCTTAAATATCACATCAAATATATTAAAATTAAATACTTTAGAGATAATTACATGAAAGGCATTCAAAATATTGCTATTTACAAATCAAACACCCTATTAATTTTTTTAAGATATATTTATGAATGCCCCTATCAAACCAATGTGAATTTGATAAAAAAAAATGAAAAATATGAGTGGTTGTTTTATCATGTCCTTTGATATTTAAGTGGGAATTTGAAATATACATAAAGAGAGTGCTTAATTTGTAAATTGTAATGTTTAGGGTGCCATATTAGATAACTAAATCCATAGGAATCGGGGGTATGTTTGCACGTTTTAAACCCAATAATTACAAATGGAAACATATTTACATTTTAATTTAAC